TGTGTATTTGGCCATACAGATTTATTAAATTAATATGTAATTTAATCTGTCAATTATAGTAAAAAGATCGATTTAATTCACTTTTTTCTTTTTGGGGCCAAATATTAGCTATAAGAAAAATAAGTAACATAGCATTTTAATTTCTTTCCAATAAAATCACATATTCATGAAGTTGTACACTACTAATCAAACATTTTATAATGTATCCAGGCATCATAATCATAAGCCTCGAACATTCGCAATATGTTTAATGCATATAGGTATTCATGGATTAGAAAATGGTTTTATGAAACTGTAATTGGTGTATGAGTACCGCATAAAGAAGAAATTTTTACTCAAAAGTTTTTACAAAGCATACCATGTTCTCTTTAAAGCAGGATTTAATTAAAATAATTTTTAAATTTATTAAAGTTGCTTACAGGTTTTCTTGTGTAAAATGTTCTATCACATTCTTTCTCTCCTTTTCTGGATGCATGTTGATATTCTTTAATACTATATGGGCCACTTAACTAACACTAGTTATGAGACCACTGAATTTGAACTCAGTTTGATCGCCTACAAAATTTAATAACTTTCAATATATTCTAGAACACCATCGTTTCTATTTCATTTACCTTTGTTAAGTTCAATATCCGCAGTTACTTCGTTCTGAGTAAATGCTTCACTAGTCCTGGTCTAAAATAAACCTATACACTTATTTTTCCTTTTTTTCTCTATATACACTCTGTTTTTTCTTCATTTATATTTTCAAATCTTCAATACCACAAGTAATATCAAAGAAGCCTGATACTGTTTTCTTTCTGAAGAAACCCAATTACAGTTTCAGGAATCAGTTTTCAATTGTTCAAATTGTTCCTTTGTTAATAATCTGAGAGCTTTTTGAGGAAAGTGGTGTGGTGTATTTAATTATGGCAAAGCACACTAGGGCTATCTGCCTAAGGGGAGGGATGCCTTCGTGGAGGACTTTCTAAGGGAAACTGGCTCGCATACACGTTACACATGGGGAAAACCATGAAAACACCCATGCAGCCAGCCTGTTCGCGGGATTCGGACCGAACTACCAGTGTTCAGCAACTTTACCGCTCGGCCGCTGGTGGGCCTTTTTGAAGAAAAGTGAATAAATAATTTACAAAATGGATGTTTCACACACAGATAATCTAGAAGTCATAATTTGGGTGATGGAAAGCCATTGTATTTGATCAAGAAGGTGAAACTCCCCTATTATACATATGATAAAAGAACCATAAATTTAAATTTTGTAGCTGAGAATGAAAAATAGTTTGGATCAGAGGAACATGGCTTCTAAAATAAAGTAATTTTTTATTATTATATTAATTTCAGGCAGTGTGTTTACAGAATTGTCCTGTATGCATCGATTTTCTAAATACTACTTTGGACTATTAAGAGAAATTTACAAATTTTTGCTGTTCATTGAACACTACATAGCACTTTTTACCGTATCATTCCTTGAGGGTATGAAAATGTGATACCCATCATCATCACAATAACCAACTAAATAGGCCTTTATAGCCTTGTCATCTAATTTACCTCCGTTGACATTTGGTACCTGTACAAATGCAGCTGATCCCAAAACTCGAATTCTGTTGATTGCCAGCTTGCGTCGAAACCATTCCTCAAACGGAGATTTTCCTGCAGTCTTACTTGGTCCGATTCGATTGAGAATGTAGACAGCCATAGATGCTGCTTCTGCCCATAGGAACTGTGGTAGGCCTGAATCCTTGATCATAGTGCAAACTGCATTCATTATTGTATGATTCTCTCTTTCAACCAATCCATTTTGTTCTGGTGTATATGGCATAATGATTCGCAGCTTGATGGCTGCATCATCAGTCAGCTTCACCAATTTATCATTGTCAAATTTCACCATCTGTGACCAGTTCTTTTACATTTATCTCATCTTTGTTGGTCTGAACAAGAAACTGCTTGATTTTATCCACAGCCTCATCTTTATGTCTCAGAAATTCTACATGTTGAAACTTAGAGTAATCGTCCTTAATCACTAACATGTACTTCTTTCCGCCTCTTGATAAAACTGGCGATTCAAGTAAGTCTGCATGTATTATCTCATCAGACTTTTGTGTTTTGAATCGTTTTGGTTTAAATGTTAGTTGACTTTGTTTACCATACGCACATGGCTCACAAAATAGTTCATTGTCGATAATATCTATACCATTTTGGCGCAAGTACTGTTTCACTTACTGTATTCCTTGATGCCAAAGTGATAATGGCAATTTTGTCGTCGTCTTCATTGCCATCTCAGAAAAAGGAGTCATCATTTCCTTGTCAACCAAGTAGGCTGCAGCTGCAGAACCCCCTTGTGGCTTGACTGGTTTTGCATGTAGTTCAAGAGTCCATTTAATGAACACGGGGCTTCTAAAAGTATATTATCTGGGGTCTCCTTGCGAAAGAAAGGACAAATCATATCGTCTGAATCACTAGAGTTCGAGATTCCTCGCTTCGCCTTTAAGGCTGATAACAAATTTTTGCCAATTTCTGGTGTGTACAATACATCAGTCATACATAGATTTTTGTACGTTTCCAACCTTCGTGCACATGTCAATGTCCCCACAGCCATATGCTGGTATTGTCTGTTTGTTACCGACTGGGATTTCTGCTTGTTTGTCAAAGTTTGTCAAAGTGACGGTACGTCTTGAAATACTCGGCTGAATTTGTAATGTGTGCTGTAGCTCCATCGTCTTTAAGCCACACATTTTGGCCACAATTCCAATCTTCATTGACGCACATGCAAACGCACTGCACTGAGTATTTGCAAAGAAGGTCTCTGTTTTGCCATTTCGTCGTGGTTGGCATGTCAAGGGAAAACTGGGCAAAATTTACCAATGTGCCCGCAGGTTTATTACAACGAAACAGATGCCATTGAAATCTTTTGCACCATCACTGGATCTTACTAAGTCTGTTCATTCGTTTTAGGCATTATTAGTTGTCAAGGGTTGGGATTGGCTGACCATCTGAGGTTTTTTACCACCCTTCTTCCATTTCTTTCCACTATGTTTTGCGCTATAATTAGCATTTGCCACAAATGTTATCGTACTTTCGTTTCTAAGCTCTTGATTTCTTCTTTGCGGCCATATGTTGATCTGTTCGATCAGTTTTTGAGGTGACTTTTCTGTCTTTGGCATTGAGTCTCACTCTGATTTGAACTCAATATATTCATCATCGGGAAGAATAGATGAGATACGCGGTGCTAGCAAGTTCTGTGGCAACTTTCCTTCGCCGCTCAACTCTTGCTCACGTTGAAGATCCACCCACAGTGTATGTAAACGTGTGAGTGATTGTATTACACTTCGTCTTTCTCGATCCGAAAAGTGAAAAATTGTTGCAGAAGAGTGTCCAATTTCATGCTTGACACCTTCTCAAAATTACTTAATAACTCATTCCATATCGCTAGTGTAGAATTACCATGCATACGAATCAAATTTAACACATCCGGTGATACATTTGTGTGAATGATCACAGCAGCTTTCGCATTCGCCTTTGCATACGCTTTTACGGCTTCATTGTACTCGCGTATCATTTTTTCATTCGCACTTTCTGCCGGAGCTTTTGGCTCGATAAGGGAATTATCGAAGATGCCCGCACAATCGTTGAGCACAAACAGAGTTTATTTCAAATTTCCAATCAGCCCAGTTGGATAAACCTTCCAATTTGGTACACTGAACAAAATTTTTAGCTTCCATATTATGTCGTCATTAACCAGGAAATATGCAGCAAAAATAAAAGGCTATCGGTACACTGTAACGTCTACCTACACACTGTTCAGGTGGACGTGTTGAAATCAAAAACGAAACTAAAAAATATTCGCGATTCAAATACGTCAACACAGCCATCATTAATTTATTTGTGCAGTTAAATGTCACTAAAACCCATAATCAGTTGTAAAATTAACAGAGTGATGGCTCATTGAATTTTGGACTTTATTAACAAAAAAAGTAAAGAGAAGTTACATAAGAAAAGAGAAGTGTCTTATTGTTTATATGACAACTTTTAGAATGACAAAAATAATAGTGATGCCAGACGCATAAAACATAATAAACAATGATGCCACTGAAACTGCACATAATATTAATTAAATGCTCGATTCTCAACAGGAATAACTGAAAATATTTTATAGTTTAAAGATTATATATTAGTTTTAAAAAGAAAGAAAAGTGGAAATGCTTAAACCTTTTTCCCACCATGTATATTCTTCTGTCTTCATATGATATGATTCATTTCAAATTAAAAATTCAAATAACCTTGAATTTAATAAACTAGAATAAAATATATATTTTATATGTTCATGTCATCAGTGGTGAGCTGTAGGAAGGTTATTTTAAGCTCTTTGTTAAATTTACATTAACTTTATAAGCTTTTTGTTTGCATGTTTATTTATTCCAAGGAAAACGGGCTGTGTGTCAGTAATAATTTGACTTTTGCTTCCTGAGGAATTAGGATCTCATCTGATTTCATATGAATTTGGTCAAAAGCATTGCAGATAGCTGAAAATTGAATTAGGTGGTGGAAAATAGATTAGGAAGATACAAGATCTTCTTTGACTTAACTCAGCACATAACAACTGATTTAATAATAATATTTTTAAATGGGTCATTTAAACCTCAAATTTATGTTAAAAAATTTTGAAACTAATCACTTGGCCTTAGAACCTCCCAAAAGATGAACTGGTGGGAAAGAGGAAAATAATATGTGGCAGCTTCTGTCATAAAACATGTCACATAATTAAATTTTCTTATTATTTTTAGCAATTTCTGTATTTTTTATATTTTTTTAAAGACAAAACAAGATCTTTCTGTTAAAAGTTTATAGCTCATCACCATACTACATATGTTGTAAGTGATACAGATTTTTATGTCTGTAGTGTAGTTCATTTTCTGTGTGCATAATAGATGCCATATCAATATATTTGTGATTGTGTGTATTATATCATTATATTTATCATTTCAATATATTTGTGATTTCAGGTATCGGTTTTTTCCACCAAAAGTTAAGCTACTTACTGAATTGGAGTACATAGAACAAGGTCACATTGAAACAAAAAAGGCCTTGGAAAATCTGAGACAATATTGTCATAGTCCTGACTGTAATGCGTGGAAAGTGATAGCTAAGTTAAGAAATCCTGTGAGGTATTTTATTTTATTTTTTTTTTTTTTATTTATGTCTAGTTTGATTAGAAATTTGTATTATTTTATATCATATTCTAAAATGTATACATATATTCATTTAGCAGTGATGCTATTTTAACAGACAAACATATGTTTACTGCAGAGCGAAAAAAAAAATTAATAAAAACCTCATTAAAATAAGGTATTTATGAATCTTTGAAAGAAGTTGTATCTATTCGTTATCAATGAGTCGTTTGAACTGCGCAGTTACACAAAATGCTATGTGTAGTGTCATGAATGTGTGTGCTACTAATGTTCAAAACTAAATTATGATTATGAACAGCATAAATTACAAATAGCTAAGTTTATTGCTTTTTTATTTTTTTTTTAGCTATCAAAATAAGATGCTACTAGAAGAACAACGTTCAAAAAACCAAAACCAAAGTAATCATGAATCAAAAGTCGTTGCCGTTCAGCATAAAGAAATATAAACATAAATAGCGACTACTTGTTGCCATTCAGAGTAAAAGAAATATAAATATGAATATTAACAAAATGTTAAAGTTAATTTTATGAAATAATTAAACACATAAAAAATATAAAATACTTGAAATAAAAAATTATTATTTCTCATGAAGTAACTGGGCCACTACAAATGCTCTGATTACTTCAGATTGCTGGAAAATGCTGAAATACCACTGCTTTTGCCTCAAGTGTTTATGCCAGATTGGATGCTTGATGTCCACCATAAATATCACAAATGGAAATGTTGCAGACAAAACAATGCATGGCCAAAACTTCGTGGGAGGAAAAAAAGCAAGGATTAATCATCATGTTTTAAAACCACACAGTACAAAATAAAGTACACTTGAAAAAAAAAAAAAAAATAGTGGGACAGTTCTATATCTGACGTTCTACTGGGCCAATTGACGAAATTCAACTTGCATTTTTCGTGTCTCAAAAACGTGACTTAGGATATGTATTATATTTATATATAGCATTGTTCTAATATAGGTATTTTGACACAAAATCGGACTTTTTCTGAAATGACATGCCAATTTTTTTCCATATTTCAATTCTATGAGTCAAATTACGTCAAATTGCCAAACTCTGTAAAAATCGCACAAGTAGTTTTCAAAAAATTAGTCCTCAAAATTTTAGCCCCTCAATGTTAATTGAGTTTGGTACATATTTATAAATAACTCTTTTTTTATTAAATTTATTTAGATTTATATATAGCATTGTTCTGATTAGAAATTTATAGGTATTTTGACACAAAATCTCTCTTTCACTTTTTTTTTTTTTTTTTCTAAAATGACATGCCAATGTTTTCCCATATTTCGATTCCATGACTCCAATTATGAAATTATCATTATTAAAATTTGATGTGAAACTTGCGGAGAAATTCAAAAATTTAATTGTGCTCATTTTTTTTAAGTTTGCACTAAGAATAATTCACTTAGTGAACTTCTTATTTGACAAATATGCCAGACTTCAAAACATGCCAATATATAAATTCATGTATATCTTCGGAAATTTTGAATAAAAACTGTAATTTTTGCAGGTATGCTTAGAAATACATTACTTTAAGATGATGGTAAAAATTTTATAGATTACAATTCAATATTTTTTCGAAAATTTTATAAAAATTATTTTAAAATAGAAATTTTAAAAATAAATCATAAAAAATGGGCAAATTTTATTTGGAATGAACCTAAATTTTGAAATGAGAAAGGAAGTATAAAGTAAGCTTAATAAAAAAAAGATATTAACAAATATATTCCAAATTCAATTAACATTGAGGAGTTAAAAATTTTAGAGTTAATTTTTTAAAAACTACTCATGCGGTTTTTACAATACATGGCAGTTTGGCATAATTTGAATCATAGAACCAAAATATGAGAAAAAAATGCAATGCCATTTCAGGAAAAGTCCGATTTTGTGTCAAAATACCTATATTAGAACAATGCTATATATAAATCCAATTTTGATGTCCTTTCAGAAAAAGTCTAATTTTGTATCAAAGTACCTATATTAGAACAATGCTATATATAAATCAAATTGGGATGCCATTTCAGAAAAAGTCCAATTTTGTGTCAAAGTATACCTATATTAGAACAATGCTATATATAAATCTAATACATATCCTAAATCCCGTTTTCGAGACATGAAAAACACAATTTGAATTTTGTCAATCAGACCAGTAGAACGGGAAATGTAAAACTGTCCCATATTTTTTTTTCACAGTATACTTACAGATCATCACATGATGATAATATAGCAGACACGTGTTTTTTGTTCTTTTAAAGTTGTAACTTTTATCATTATGTGAATGTATATTGAATTAGGTCACACTAGAATTGGTCACACTAGAGTGACACATAACTACCTTCTGAAAGCTGAGAACGAGCCTGTTTGAGCAAACTGTGATGTTTGTCTCTCAGTCCATCACATTTTAATTGAATGTCCATATTTTAATAGCTGCGACCTGCCTTTCGGCCATTTAATCGGAAGAGAGGTCAATACCAATTTGTTTAACTACCTGAAAGAAACAGGTTTCTATTATTTAATTTGATTTTTGTCTTGATATTTTATGTTAGAATTTTAATGAATTATATGTTTTAGGATTTTATATCTATACTGCAAATCTCATTATCTGAATCATAATCATCATTTTCATCCCACCATTTCAATATCTTTTTACTCGCCTCGATTTTAAAAGTGTGCTGTTTTCTTTAGACTTTTTTCTTTATCTAAAATCTATACTTTACTTTATATGTTGAAATACAAATCCTGTGTTTGGCGCATATGGCCTATAGAGCTTTGCGCTATAAATCTACTACCGCCACCACCAAGGAGACATGGACATTTATAGTAAAACAGCATAAAATGCCGCTTCGAAACTAACAGCCTATCTAGGCTACCGCCCCTTTAGACTAATAAATTAAATTAACAGTAAATAAAAAAACTCTTGTGCAGAACTAAAAATAAATTAAAAAAATTATCACTATAAAATACAAGCAAAATTAATTATTACGTTTAAATACAATTTTAATATTAGAATTAAATGTATAAACATTTTTAAGAAGTCAAAAGTGTTATCACTATGATGTATTATGAAATATAATTGAAATAAAATTCCTTTATAGAAATTGTGCTATAATACTCATCTATAATTTTAAAAAAGCAGCACAATTTAGAATTTTAAACACAACTTTCAAAAATTTGTTTTTAAATATTTTAGTATTTTTTACTTATTTACCACCAATAAAAAGCATAAAAATTTCAAGAGAAAATTGCTTGTTTGAAATTTTCTATTAGTTCAGATTTAAAATTTAATTTTCTAAAAGAAGTAGTTAACAAATTTCCTTACAGCTTAGAAAAAGCTAAAAAAATAATCAGTTCTGAAAGCATGCAATAGCTTTATAATTATTTGGAACGTTAATTATGCTTGATAAATATGCTAAATTTTTAAAAATCAATCTCAATTTCAAAAATAAAACTATGTAGAAATTCTAATTTGTGAAATGAGGCGCTACAACCAGCTTTTTCTTGACAATTATACATGCTGCAATAGGCAGCCAATGTTAAATTTCTGCAAGTCGTCCCTACTCCTCCGGATTTGATCAAGGTGACAGCCGGCAACGCCTCAGACGAGGAAGAAAACCTGTTTGGGTTAGTCTATTTCTTATAAGGTCCATGCAATTGCGCTAACATTCGATTTGACACCAAAAGTATTACATGCAATTCGATTCAGCCCACGCTGAAGTCTCTCATATTTATTTGGAATGTAAGAAATATGCTTTTTCTACTTTAATTTGCTGTCTAACAAAACACCTAAATATTTAATTTCATTCACCCTCTGAAGGGGACTATCATTTAAAAGCAATTGATGTCCTTCATAAGTAGTATTTTTTTTATCAATGAACATTGTCTTGGATTTTGCATGGTTAAAGTTTAACTTAAAATCTATTGACCATTAATAAATGAAATCCAAAACATCTTGGGTGAGATGGAAAGCTTTGTGCATTTCCTTTCCTTGAACACAAATCAACAAATCATCTGCAAAGGAAATTGAATAAGAAACTGAACTTTGCAACTGAAGAGATTAGCAAGTTTCTGTAAGAGATCATTCATAATAATAATCCAAAGCTTGGGACTGGAAACAGAGCCCTGTGGACATCCTCTCTGAGATCGACAAACTGTTTAAGTGCTACCCAGAAAAAGTTCGACCGTCCTATCTTTCAGCAAATCGGAAACGACATTAAACACATTATGAGGTATTTTAATTTTTCTTAGTAAATTAAGAATAGCAGGCCACCATGCATTACAAAAATGGAATGTTTGACCTGCATTTTGTAAACCAAATGGCATTTTAAGAAACTCAAATAGTCCAAATGAGATAGTCACAGCTGTTGTAGGCACGTCGTCTAGATTAACAGGAATCTGCTGGTATACCCTAGCTAAATCGAGTGTTGAGAAAATATTTTTTCCAAAAAATATCTGTGTACAATCTTGAATATGTGATACAGTATACCAATCAGGAATAGTAGCAGCATTCAGGCGGCTATAATCACCGCAAGAGCATGAATCACCATTAGCTTTATAGACCATGTGGAGAGGGCTAGCCCAAGGACTTTTGGAAGGTTGAATGATTCCTTGTGACATCAGGATTTCAAACTCTTGCTTGGCCACTCAGAATAAATCCGGTGACAAACGACAAGGTTTAGAAAACATGGTAGGACCTTTAGTCTCAATACAATGGAAAATTGTCGAATTCTGATCATTGTTGGTTACATAATCAGGATTTGTGAGTTCAGGATACTCAACAAGTAAGCTATCAAATTTAAAATCACCAAGAAGTACAGATATGTCAGAATCAAAAGAATTCCCAAACAATTTACCACGCGATGACAAATTAGTTTTGCAATCGATGAGACAATTATTAGCAACATCAACAAGTAATGAATATTTGTTAAGGAAATCTACACCTATGATTGGCTGATTTACATATGCAACGA